TAGATTCAGTGTTCCTATCTTATCTSTTAGCTAGATTCAGTGTTCCTATCTTATCTCTTAGCTAAATTCAGTGTTCCTATTAATTAGGCAGTAGCATTATTATTCTTTAAAGATAAATGTTGTTAGGAAGTGTTCCTAAAGAAGGACTCTTATCTTCTTGTAATTTCCTATTTAAAGGAGCAGAGGAGAGTTGGTGATCTCTTTAACAAATCACCATTAAGGCGCTAAAGATAGGTTCCTCGAGAAAAGGGAGAAACAAGGGAAAACAAGAAGTTTTCCCCGTTAACCGACCTGTGACGAGATCCTATTCGCGGGGCCCTTAACACTTTTATAAAACTTTTACGAAAATACTTTTACAGAAGTACTTTTATTAAAGCATTTTTATAAAAGTACTTTTACGTGAAATCACTTTTACAAAAGAACTTTTACGGAAGTACTTTTATAAAAGTAATTTTACAAAAACACTTTTATAGATGTACTTTTATAAAAGCACTTCTATGAAAGTACTTTTATAAGCACTTCTATAGAAGTACTTTTCTAAAAGTGCTCTTAAAAAATCACTTTTATGAAGTACTTTCAATAAAGTGCTTTTGTAAAAGCACTTTTATGAAATACTTATTATCAAAGCACTTACAAAAGTGTTTTTTCAATGCCAAAAGTACTTTTATATAATTTTTGATATTTCATTCGGTTTGGATTGAATCCAATCCAATCCACCTACATTTTAATGGATTGGACTGGATTTGGTTTGTATTGGATTTGGACTGGATTGGGTTCAATCCATTTGTAAGTGGACTCACATTGGACTGGATCGGGTTGGACCAAACCAGTCCAATTGACATCTCTACTTGGACCTAGGGAATTCCAGGGCTGTAGGGTTATGATCAGTCACTTTTATATACCATAAGGATGGATGCTGGAGACTGCGGCTATGAGTCTCCATATGTTGGGTGCTATGAATGATTCCATGGTTCTGGATTGTCTAACAAGGGATTTGCACCCACAAACAAGAGGCGAATGTCGCTACCAAGAAGTTGAGTTGAGTTAGGACTCTAGCTAGGAATCCTAGTTTGACTAGGACTTTGGTAGATGAATCCCAATGAAGCTAGGACTCTTTAGTCCCTGGGTAACACCGAGGTGAGTATGGCAAGAATTCTAGTTGAATTGGAACTCTTGGGGAGAAATCCTAGTTGCATTAGGACACTAGTATTCTGGTTCCAGAGTCTAGAATGATTATGGGAAGAGTCCGTATAGCATTGGGACTCATGGGAAAGTTTCTAAGGGCTTGTCCTGTAGTCAAGAAATTCCTGATATGCCTGGGTGATCATATTCTAGCAATTGCCCTGAAAGATTTTCAAAGCAAGAAACTAAGTTTCATGTGTTTTTCTAGTTGGAGTAACTCTTGGTTAAATTCCATTTTATGATGATTGGTGTAGAATCTAGAAAGTGACTATACATGTGGTATCCTACTCAGATTTGGACATTGTAGTGTAGAGGGATGAATTGTAATTTTACTTTGCATCAAGGGTCCAATGTGATAATTTCCAAGACTTAAGGACTTGATTACAAATTGGTGTTTTATTTTTTCTTATTATCTTCTTGGTTTACTATTTCTCTTTTCTGCTGGTTGACATGACCATCCAAAACAAGGTCCACTTGCAGCTCTTATTAGTCATCTAAACCCACAGAGTAATTCCATCAACAGTTTCTATTCACATCACACCCTACCCCTAAATCTCCTTAACATTGCTAGGTATCAGAGTTTCCCTTATTGGTGATCCTTACGGCAGCTTTCAGAAAGGAAATAAGCAGTAAAAACTATGTAGTGTGCGACTATTATTGATCTTTGTCAATGATGATATTCATGGCAGTTCAAGGGGGCTCATGCTTTATCACCCTGGGAAAATTTAACTAATATATTCATGGTTTTTCTTGTTTAAAATATTCTATCTTACCAACAATAATTTTTTTATCGACAGTTAATTTATTCATTATGGAGAAAGAGAGATGACATACAAGATGCGTATTAAAGAGCAGGAATGCAGAAAAATAAATCCCCTCTCCCCCTCTCTCATAACCCCCAAGAGCCAGTCAAAAAGCTTCCAAGAACATAGCTAAGAAAATTACACCCCACAAAAGGTCTATGCCCAAAACAAAGATCAGTAATACCATAGACCTCCACTCTCACCTTCAATAACTTCTTGCCTATCAAGAACATGCCCAGACAAAACTGTGAAATGAGAAACAAAAAGATAATAAGGATAAACAGCAACCTGTGAAACATTTGGCACAAATCAACCTCCCCCCTATCCGTCCCCCATTCAAACGACCAAAACTAAATGGTTTTGAAGTGACTAGCAAATTGCCTTCAGAATGTGTCACTGTCATGCATGTGTATGTTATAAATTGTCTTATGCCCTTTTATGACCATATGCATGTTTATATTCAAAATTTGTTCATATATTGGCTGATTGGTTTTTACATTATGTAATATGATCCTATTTTCAGTTTAGTTGTTCTTTTAATGGAAAATAAAGGGAACTTTTGTTGTGACATGACCAGGCCAGATAGGTCATGTTTCATTTTATTATACTCTGATTTTATTTAATGATTCCTCTTTCCTTCTTATTTTCTAGGCTCTTTTCTTCTGCTAGTGTGTTTTTTTCTCATACAAAGCAACTGATTGAAAATTTCTGTAGGTCCCAAGGAGCTTCCTTTTGCAAATCCTTGGTGAAGAGCGTGTGACCAAGTTTGTTATACAAGAAATAGTTAGCTCAACCATGACTGACTATGTTGAGAAGGCGAGTCTAGTAATCATTTTATGATTTGTTTCTTTACTAAAGCAGTTTGTTGTAATGCCATGAGAAATCTGAAGCAGTGACTGGAATCTAATTTTTCTCCTGACAAACAGGAAAATTTGACCGTGAAGAACAAATTCAAGACAACTCAGTCAGCGGAAGAACTTGAATTGGTATTTACCCCGGGAAATAAATTTGGTTTTAATACTACATTGGAGCTTGAAAAACAAGAAACTGAAAGGGCCAGCTCCTCTGAGGTGTGAAGCAATTAATTAATCTTATAGCCATTGAAATCTTCCTTAAATGTTCAACCGATTTACATTTTGAAGTTCTATGACATAAATTAGTTAGTAGGTCTAATATCCATTAATTTTAGGGTGTCAAAAAGAGTGGATTTAACATAATAACCAAAGTTCAAAAAATTAGTATCGCTTATCCTATTGGTGCATGTTTGGATACGTATAAATATGGTAATTAGGTATATATCAATGTTTTAAAATTCGACCTGGAATTGGAACTGCTTTGGCCACCAGTTTGACTTCGGTTCAAGCAGATGGCCTGTTCCAAGTTAAAAAAATTAAAAAATAATTAAAATAAAAAATAATCAAAAACCATTGTCTAGGTCAAATTGGTCGATGGTTCAACCGCCTAGGTCAGTGGGTTGTTGACCAAGCCAATGTTTTTTTGCCAAAGAATGGGTTAGGGGTGAAATGGAATTGGTTGCCTGGATGGTTCCCGGGCTGAACAGTCTGACCGATCAGGTTGATGCTTTGAAAACACTGACAAATACATAACAAATGCACACTTTAATTGTCCATATGAAGAGATACATTGCAATCAATGATATTGTGAGTTTAGAGCATGTGCATTAGGGGGTGATTATTCTTTGCCCAGCCTGAAAACCTGGCCTGGCCCAACCCACAAATTTTCGAGTCTGGGCCTAGGTTTTTATGTACAAGCCTGGCCTGGCTTGGGTCCACATCAAGCCCAAAAAATTCTGGGCCAGGCTTGGGCCCAACATTTCAAGCCCGACCTAAGCCCAACCCACAATATAATATAATATAATATATATTTTAGATATACATTAAATAACATATATATATAGTATAATATATTTTGTATTATATTAAATGTTTATCATTTTATATAAAATATAAAAGTTTAAAGTTTCAACATATAAATATTAATATTAATAAATTGACATTGACACATGTTAACACGTGTGAACACTTGAACCAACTCAAGTATGTGAATTGCCCTCCTAGGCAAGGCCTTCATTCTCATTGCCTAAGCAATGTGGGACTTGGAAAAACAATATTAACATTCACTATCAAGTGTTGCCCGGTAGGGGTGTATCGGGCAATATCGATAGTGTTTTTTACCTTTTTTATATAGTTTTTTTAAATACCGGTTCAGGGGTGCCAATTTAAGACGACTCCACCCCCTGAACTGGTTAGAACCCTAGGGGTGTATCGGGAAGCCATCAACATGATATGTATCGGCCGATACAGGCCATTATGTATCAATATTTTGAACCTTGGTTGTTTGGAGTTTTTTTAAATTAAGAAAAAATTCATTTTTGGCATAAAATGTTGTTAAATAAATGAGTTTAATAGGTCATTGATAGATCCATCTTATACCAGACATGAAATTAGTCATCTTCAAGAGACTTGGTGATTGACATAACTTCACTTAGAACTATCATGGTGGATACAAAGGAATTTCAGAATCCTTATTTTTATTAGTATGTCCAAAAGCTGATGCTTTAAACCTTGTAAACACCTAATTATTCATGTATTTAAAGTAAAATTTATGAAGCCGATATTTCTTACGACCTAGCAACCCAATAAGCATTTCAGCTAGCACGTTTCAAAACACAAGTTTGAATCACACCATAATGGGGAAAATGGTTTAAAGAACCACACCTATTTCAGTCGAAGATATGTAGCCCATTTAGTTTGTAATTGAAATCAGAATGGAAATCCTTTGGAATCGGAATTGGAATGATTTACTCCCATAGTCTGATTCAGAGGATTAAAATGAGAATTAAAATCAGCTAGAATGGGATTTCATTCCCAAGGGAGGAGGGAATGCCCTTTCTCAAATTGAGAAATGCTATTCCACTAGAAATGAGAATGGGGTTCCAATTTCGCCCAACCAATCAGGTCGTCAATTTACGAAGCGGGTTTGATTGCTCAGTTCTTTGGAGTTTGGATAACATACCCTTCTGGGATCATTTAAAATGCCAACGAAAAATGACCAAGATACGAAAAGTAAGAGTACGTTTTTCTGTATACATGTATCCGTAGGTAAAAATAAAATGGCTAACAGCCTTTGAACCTGTTCTAATGGAAAATATTACACATTATGACTAGAAACATAAACCAATTGCCATTTGCCAGTGCTTCTCTTTACATTGAAACTGAGCAGTGGGTACTTTGCCATCAAATGCCAAGGACTACCGAAGACCACATTGCCCAAAGATTTCGTGCAACAACATATTAAAGCCTATTCCATAATAAAAATGCTCTTCTGATGATGCGATCTGCGGAAAATCCTTCTGCATATGCACTAATTGCTGACAAGAGGCTTCTAAATTTATCTCCATTGTCCTGCACATACAGACCTCCAGGCTTTAATTTCTTTTGGTATTTTCCAGGCTTTGATTTGAAATATATAGAACAGACAAAAAGGCCATTACCCAATGTTGGTACATCCCAGGTATTAGGATTTCTTTTCCTATGGATGAGATTGTCTAGGCAGCTAGTTACTACACAAAAAGATTGCAATGTTCAGTGATGATGTGTAATCATTCCATCTTCGTTCACAAACACCCTAAATTAGTGGGGTTAAGGTTCCCTCGGGGAATTCACATCTGCGCCCCACAGGGCACCCCACAGCATATCCAAACTGTGTATTGGGAATATCTTCCACTGACAACTTCGGGATATGTTCCCAATGCACGCTGAGATGTGTATGTGGGGTGTTTGTGGGGCACAGATGCGATCTCTCTTAGGATTGGTGCTGTCATTTGTTTTCTTTGAATATTACAAAATGACGCAAATCCTTGTACTTGATTCTTCTCTTGGGAGTTGGGACGCAAAAATAACCTATGGACTCTTTTTGATAGGTACTTTATATAGACTTGTTCTATAAGGGATAAACTCACTCTGATTGATGGGTATTGTATTCCTATCTTTGGTATGATTGAAGAGAAGTGAGAATCTTTTTGGAGTCTGTCCATGTTCTTAGTTACAAATCTTTTCTGTAAGTTCTATTACCAAGACTTTGCATTATTTTGTAGCTTCCCTCATAATTGTTGCATATTTTAAGACCTGAGCACTAGGAGGATGATTGGAAGTGGTTGTGAGGCTACTGGAGCTTATGTTTTAAACCACACACTATGACAATTTCTATCATGCCCATTCCCGAATATTTTGTGATCTTGTCTTGTTGAGCCAAATAAAACTATGGCATTGTTGCCAGCTTATTTATTTATTTTGTATTTTAAGTCCATATTTTTGAGTCTTTTTTAATGTGTGTCTGGTTTTAAATGTTCAAGGTGATGTTTGTCAGTTATCAAAACCGTATAGAACATTTTAGCCTTCAAGCATATGTAATCTTCTGATCTGACCTGTGATGAAACAAAAGCAGAGAGGAGAAGAGTGTAGAAATTAGAGAAAAGAAGTGGAGAGAAAAAGAGAGATTGTGGGGTTCAAAAACCGAGTTCCCATCAACTTCAACTATCTTATAGCTGCACTTAAATTGCATAAGAATTACTACAGTACCCCTAATTGGTAAATTTCTAAAGAAACCATACTACTGCTATTTATTGCCATATAGAATGAGACCCCTTAAACACAACAAAAGTTCTATGATAGGCCCCCAATTAACTTTAGGTATGCCAGGAAGGGGAAAGGTCAGCTTTCGGCTAAGGGGGGAAATAATTGAACATGGGGGCAATTATGGCTGGAGGGAATAAGGAGAGTCTTGAGGCATTTATAGCTATGTCAGTTAGGAATAAGAAGAGTGGGCATTTATAACTTGGCCAGCTGGGCATTTATTGAGGGAATCAGTTATGCTGTAAGAAGAGTA